AGCTCATAAGGAAACACCAAAGAAAAAAGTGAGTTCTCCGTTATTAGTAGGCATTCTGACTTGGCAGTAGGCTAATCACTTGTTTAATTACATTACATTAGTTTAAATTACTCTAAGGTGAGGAGAAGTCGATAATGCGGCAGGAGGAGTCATAGTCACAAAAATTCTCCGTATCTGCTCTTTGGTAAAAGGCTGTCCACGCTGAGATGGAAATGATTAATTATACGAAAAGCAGCTGAAAAAACCTGTGATTTTGTTTCTACATTGGATTGTGGAAGGATTCTTGTTCAGATAAATAGAAAAAGCCACTCCACCAAAAGAGATGTCAGTGTACAGTGCGGCTGAGCAGACACCTTCTGTGGTCAAGGAAGGACTCAGAGCAATGGGTATATCAGGGAAACAAGAGTTCATGGAGGAGTGCCCTTTATATATTGTTGCATTTCATCTGGATTATACTAATGAAGGGTGAAGCACAGAAAGGTGTTTTAGTGACTACCAGAGGCTTTAAAATGTTATCAAAACAGAAAATATACCAAATACCAAAATTAGTATGTTACAAATTTATTCCCACTTGAAAAGTTAAAAATTTCCTACCATGGGATAGGTTTTAATCCATTTTCCTCCTGCTTCCTCCCCAGTTCCAGTACACTATCTGCCAGTGACATTCAATTTTCTTCCCCATCTCCTACTCTTTTCTGGGAGAGGAGAGGACAGACACATTCTTCCCCTAACATAATTACTGTCCTTTAAAATCTTGCTTGACTGTCAGCTCATGGTGGCACAGCAGTGAAGAAAGCAGATTAAAGTTAATAATTTAATGACAGTCAAAGGCCCAGGGAAAGGTGAAAGCTACAGTTCAGCCTCTAGGCAGTCCTAAGAGCTCTCATTCTCACCTAAAAGCTATCTAGCTCTTACAAGGCTTAAAAGCTGTCCTTCCACCAAAGCACTATGATAGCAGATACTGAGGTCACACTATTGAGAGAGTCTGACAGCCCAGTAAGGCTACCCAACATATCAGTCCAATTCTCAGGTAGCTTTACCATTCAGGGAGTAGTGGTCATGGTATGTGATTATGGAATTAGAGAAGGTTTTTAACTGTGTTTAAAGAGTGTGATGCAGTTTATGTGCATTAACATGTGCTAAGTGAGAAAGGGAAGCATCAGTTTGCTTGTGTGAAAGAATATTTTTTAACTAAAAACTAGAAGCTTAAGAATATTTAGAATTTGCTTTACTATTCAAAAATATTTACAAATGAAAGCAAGCACAGTTCAGCCAAATTGTTTATTGAGTATTTGTTTCAAAACAGAAGTATAAAAGCACATTAGATATCTCCTCTGAAACTTTGGTCTGCAGAATTAAGGCACTTTGAACATGTTTCTTCCTACTCCATGAGTAATTGTTTTCCCACTGTTAATAAAGGCAAACAACTTTTATGAGTACAAAACTACTGTTATAAAATTGACATAATTTACAGACAACTCCACATCAGTACCAGACATTAGCAAAGCATGTTTTGATAGAAAAGCTTTCAGACCTAGCCTCATTTTTGTTAAACCTTTTCCATGCTGAGTTAACTGTTTGCATGCATTTTATTTATCCCTTTTATAATCCCCTTTAATAATCAAAAGATGTATTTAGGGAAAAGTGGGAAAACACTTAAGAATCTCATTATATGTATTGGTGTAAGATTCCTTTAATGGGAATGATTTTTCTTAAAGAAGTCAACATGATCTCAAATACATTTCAAGAAGCTCACATTGTTTGGTTTTTTTTCTTTTTAAGAGCTTCCATTAGCCATGTTACTAGAAGGCATTTGGATATGCAATGTAGAACAACAACAAAAAAGAATACATTTAGTATAAGGCATATTTGTTTGTTTAGAAAAGGTAATGTTATGGTATCATTATGACATTTAACACGTGATGAATTTTGACTTATAAAAAGCATACAATACTACTGAACCAAAAGTGCTATTTTAACATCTCATATTTCTCCTTAGATTACTCTAAAATCTCCTGAAGTTATTTTTTTTCTAGAAATGATCTAATTTCATTTATATTTCTTATTTAGTGGAAATAATAATAATAAAAAAATACATTCTGTATTGTTCCCTGCTCTTTTTGAATCCAATCCTGCAAACACTTACTAGCCAGCATAAGAAGGAAACCTGGTTCTACAGAAGCTGATGGCCTTCAGCAGTTCCAGGATCCCACCCTGCATAGTGTTTACTGTCAAGAGCAGTTAAAGCACCCCCAACGGACTGGTCCCCTTAGTGAGCACTGTGCTAGTAGTGAGTATCTGCAGCTTCACATCTTGTTGTGGATTCATGGTTCAGTTTATGTTATGTTATCAAAACAACGTCGTTTTCTAATGTTCTCATTTTTAAAAAAACAGTTTATCCTCCTCTCAAAGACCACGCTGTTAAATTTGTAATTCTGTGGATCTTGGAAAGCTTTTAGGGATGAGCTAATCTTGTCCTCCTTCTTGCTGTTCCCCCTGGAGAAAATGGAAAAAGAACCATAATTATTATCGGTATTTATATATAATATGGTTATACTATGTACTGTATTTAGTTCTGTATTTAGTTGTGAAACAGACCAACAAAGAGGAAAAATGAAGCCTGATGCTGAATCTTTCACTCTGCTGGCAGCTAGGAAATTACGATGATATCTCGGCTTTTTACTGATTAAAATAATGTAGAATAAAAATGAGTTACAAATCCTATGGTGGAGAATCCCACAGTGCCATTTTCATAGTCTTAGGCTCTAGAGTCAGATCTCACTTTTATGGCTTCGTTCTAATCTGAAACACTGTTTGACCAAAGCACATAATCTAAGCTCTTTTTAGATAGAAATATAAATAATAAAAAAATCTCGAAACACAGTACTTAACGATACCAAGCTTTGCCAAAATTCTTTTTTTTAAAAAAAAAAAAAGCGTAATTGCAGCTCTTTTCTTTCAAACTCTGTTTTCTTAAGGGTATTTTTTCCCTTCCTGACTTTTAACATAACTGAGAATAATATTTGATACAAATTAAAATGTTTCGATATGTTTTGCTTTTACCTTGTGTCCTTCTGGTTGGTTGTACTTTCCGTACAGGTGCTTCTAGAAAACAGAAATGTTGCAGTTAGAAGTTATTTGTAAGAGTTTTTGAATTAAAACTCATTAGAAATGTTGGAAACCCATTGCTGACTTGAAAAGTTTGTACTTTAAGGTTTTCAGTAAATTAAGAATTTTGTCCCATTTGCATGTTGACTTGATCACCTGAAACATGAATGCTTATGATACAATTCACACGTTTCTTTCATGTGCAGTCATCCATCAAATCTTACCAAACATTTCAAAAGTAACTGCATTGTGAGTCCGTGGTATGATTCCACATTTAGAGTTCAGTTAATTTCCTCAAAGACTTTTGTTCTAAAGAGTAGAGCAAGGACTATTGAATAGGTACCACCCTCATTAGCAGACACATCTGTTTTCCAAAATGATGACTCAGTGAAGCTATAGATACATTTTCCTCTTTCTCATCAAACCGTGAGACATTTTTTAAACCAGATGTCTCCTCATTGGGATGAAAAACATTTCACAAGCATAAGAGATAATTCTTCTGTTACTGTCACAGATATGTTACTGTGGTATTTCTCCTTCTTTACAGCCATGAAGTACTTACATCTTCACTTAACCAGCTGCAGTCAGTTGTCTTTTCATCCTGAGGTACAGGGTATATAAATGCATAGCCCTGAGATACAGGCTTCACCTCATTACAGCTGAGGCTAAACACTGGGTATCTGTACCAATGTGATAGAAAATTTCAAGCGCTGCACTGCCCTGACAGGGACAGAATATGGTCCATCCAAAGAATGCTTTCCATATTTATATCCTGTGCATAAAATTATGCTTTCAGGTAGAGCTCACGGTCGAAGTTCACACCCGTCTGTCATTTTCAGGCAATAATTGACTTCCCTGCATGCCTTGTACTACTCAACATTGAAGTTATACAGACACTATGGTATACCTTCAGTACTTAACATAGACTTCAAAATTTAAAAAGTAGAAACACATTGGTTTAACTTCATTCACCACAAGCCATAATATCATTCCCTATGAATTTAGTTCAAAGGCTGACAGAATAACTTATTCTGCATTATTAGAATTAGAATAAGAAAAGGACATACTAACAAATACAAAAGAAACCCTAAACAAGTTACTTCTTAACTTGGAATGAAGATCATTAAAAAATGATTGTTAAACCTGAAGAACAAATTCCTGGTAGAAAGCCAGGCAGGCTGAATTGTATTTGGGTCCTTTAAGAGATTAATTTTGGACCTCGACACCATTCAGCTCTTTCAAACCCAAGAGCTTCCCTCATTTAATAACAGGATAAGGGTGGAGAAATTCCAAGACCCTGTGAGATATTTACTCAACCCCAGAGGTTATATTCCCTCCACCCTACTCCCCCTTCACAAAGCTGAGAACCCCTCACATCAACAGATCACGTTAACACTGGCAAGAAATAACTCAAGTTAAAAACAACTCACGTGGTCTTCTTCTGGATGTGCTGCTTAGAGAAAAGGCAATTCTTATGGTGCGTGTTCCTTCAAATGTTTTACCTAAGCTTTGTGGTTAGACATTTCCTCTTGTCTACTATGCTTGCCAAATCTTTTTGTTACTTTTAGCCACAAGATAAACCTCAACATTTTTCTCTGAAATGTCAGTGAAAGAATTGTTTTCCAAAACAGTTATAAAAACTCTTCTTGCTAAAATACTGGCTTCAGAACTAAGTAATTTTTGTGAATAGATACTATAAAACCCCACCTGGAATGATCACGTCAGACAAAGTGGGTCTTAGTGATACTGGATTTTTAGACAAACTAACCTTCCAGATGGACTTTCTTGATTTCTCTCTCGATAATCTGTGGCTCTCCCTCAATTACTTTAGTAACCTTGGTGTACTCAGTTCCAGCTACGATAAGCATCAAAAACAAATGAGTTAAATCTGGCATAGCATTTTTACAAACTCAAGGAGCCTTCAGTGGAAACGATGTCATTCTGGGGGTGGAGGTGTATGCAGGTCACCATGTTATTCATACCGTAAGGTCCTGCTGATTTACTTGGCCCTGCCACAGGTGATTCATTCTGTAGGGCTGAGAGTCATTCATGTAATCTTGGCTTGAAGTTTTGTTTCAGCAAAGACTGCCAATTGTAATAAGCAGTGCTGGATATTGTATAAGTAGAATTACAGCCCATATAAAATAATTCTTTTACTTTAAACAGCGGTAATACATATGCTTGTGACTGGACTAGGATTTAATTGCTTAGGAAATTTTCAGTGAAAGAGAAGTAATTTGATGTAGACAAGAGGGTCATAAAGTATTATCACCATTATCACCAACAGCCATAAAGCAGCATGTGTATCTGCTTTTATTGGCTAAACGTATGGTAAGGTATTATCATGGCAGCCAAGGGTAGCTGACTGGATAAATCATGGAAAAGATAGAGAAAAATCAATTTAAAACAAGAGACAAATCTGCCTGTTTGGTCCATTCTGTAAAGCAGGATGCTTATGCAAACTACCATATAATAGCAAGGAAAAATAGCAAGAATTCAAGAGACAATATTGTTTTTCTCCAAATTTACTACAGAGAAACTATTTACCGCTTTTGCATACACCTATAGGATCACTGTAGGATGTTTCTCTACAAATTTTGTCTACTTAATTGTATACCTCTGTCATTGAAGATGATTATAACTGTGTTAGATTCTGGCATCAGACCTGTCACCAGAATTTTGAACATTTCTACAGATAAAGTTTGATCCTCCTCTTTATTGCCTGATTGACACCAGTAGAACATAGTCCAGTAAATTGAGGGATTTTCTTGCTATATTTTCTTTTATTTTCAGCTTTCCTTTTAAATATTCAACACTGAAGTAGACATCTCCAGAGAGCAACTCTTCACATAGCTGGGACACTTAAGATAGGATAAGATGAAAAACCCTCTGGAAGTTCCTATTTGTCTCCAATGATTATATGCAAATCCTGGCTTAGATCTGTAAAACTAAGATTTAGAAGTTTAAAACAGAAGAAATAAACACAGTCAACAGTATTCATAGCCATATCTTCACTTTTCTCTGAGACTAGCTGTATTCTCAACCAGCATGGAAACCAGTGGAAAGTTGGTCAGCCATCACTAAATTTTTTACTTAACTGAAGTTTAAGTCACATCCACAGAACTGTGCTTTCGAAGGACTACAAGATTTAGTTCAGTTTATGCACAGCTGGCTGTGAGCTACTTCACTGGTATTCAAGTTTGTAACTTACTAAAAAGCAAACATAAAATAAAGTTGATTCATTTAATTTATGCCAAGAGAAACATCCATACATATTTTTGAGCTTCTGATTCATGTTTACACTAACATTTACTAAAAACGCAACACTTGAATTCTTTTTTTTTATTCCCCCTTGCTATTATAGGTAGTTTTTCTAATCTACATTAAGCAGAGAACATTCCATACTCATAGATGAAGATTAATTTCATAAGCACAAGTTCTTTTACCAGTTTTCTACAGCTACTGGTTATATATTGCCAAAACTGTTAGAAATACAAGAGCAAGAAGGAAAGAAAACCATTCCTTGGAATGCTATATTTGAAGAGAATTAAAGTTAATGCCTTGATATCCATCACCTGTAAGCATTGAAAGAAGGATGCTAAACATGCCTTTATTAACTTGAGGGCAATGAATATTCATTTCTGAAGAACTGATAAGTCAGATGAATTTGGCCTGTTAGAATACTTTCCACTTCATAAGTGTTTTTCACAGATTTAAATTTTCTGAACAAAAGAGTTCACAGCTAGTGGAATAAATCTTCATTGCTCCCCTGAGTTTTAATTAGATAACTTTTTAAAGACTGAAAAAAACCCAAATAATTTTTTTCATTACCAATGTCATAAAAATTAATTAATCAAACTTTGGTACTTATTTCCATTTCACAGACATCTGTCACTTCATATGTTGCATTCTATTTTTTCTCCCATTAAAATTACACTTCAGCCAGGTCAGTCTTTAAAATGTTGAGGTCAACATATCTGAGAGAGGTTTCAGTTACCATAACCTGTTGCAAAAAGGTTAGTTATAATACACTGAATTACCTCCCTGCAGAAGTCTTTTGATTTCTTCATCTTCAAGTAAATGACCATCACCTTCAATAAATTTGGTCACCTTGGTAACCTCTGATAGGATACAGGTTATGGCACAAAATTGATTTACAGAAGACATTTGACAATCCTATAACAGCATATTACTGAATTAATCCTGTCATAGCATTTTGCTGAATTACAAAATTAATCTGTTATGATACTAAATTCCATGTGAACACTGAAAACATGGTATTTTATGACAAACATAGCATACTATGTATTAGATCCAGGCAGCCTCAACTCTGGAGCTGACTGAAACGTGAAGATCAGAGCTTCAAACTAGAACATTAGATTGGGACATTTCTTAGGTTCAGAGGTTTAATCTCTGGCTATGATTTTGCAATACAAACACCTTTGCAGAAAACATGGAGTGTCCATTCAGTAATTACTTAGGTAATATAATTTTTAATTTTTTTCTTTTAAAGCAAGGAAAGAAAACATGGATACTAACCTTCTTCAAGCAATTTCTTTAACTTTTCTTCATTGTCTGAACCACCTGCAGTAATTCTGGTATATTTTATTTCAGGACCTGGAAAAAAAGATGTGTAAGACAGTGACTTAATCAGATATAAAAGGATTTCCTTTTAAGTTATTTTTTCCTATTTAATGTTTGGAATAGTTCCATGGTTAATGTGCTTTAATCTGTTTTATGATCATTTTATCTTTCACCGTGTCCCAAGTTAAACTGAAAGAGGGTTACAAATGGTATTTAGAGCTATTCAGGAAAGTACTTCAAAAAATTTAACATCTTTACAGTAAATATCTGATCACATTGTTAAAGTGAGACATAGTTTTAAACAGTTTGTTGTGTTAGGTCATAGATTAGATATTTCCTAAGTGCAAAAAGTCTGGATCCACCATTTTAAATAGACATTGTTGCTTTTATTACTGCTATGATTCTTTATCAGTTCTACTACAGAGGGAAGAGAAGGACTGAAACACTGGCATTTTACATTATATTGATGATTTCATGTGGGATATTAGTAAAACTTAAATTTGAGAAAAGAGAAAATGGTATTTTATTTTATTTTCTCCCATAGAAATTTTGTGTTGAAAAATCATCCCAGGTTTATTCAGAAACTGCCAATGTTTTTCATTCAGTTATTTTCATTGTAGTGAAGAGTTGAATGAGAATAACTAAGTCTGGTTCTTTATTTCTCTCTTGCTTGAATAACTTCTTAAATTGAATTTTAAGATTTTCTAAATAAACTGAATATTAAGACTTTCTGCTATGTCAATATGTTCCTATAACACTGTCTTTCACTTACAACTGCTCTGGCAGATGGAATCTGGGGATCAAAATATGTTAGAGAATTGGTGACTGCTTAAATACACCTTAGTCCACTTTTTAATTTCTGTGAAGTTTCTAGGATTCTTAAAGAAATAGCTCTGCAGTACATAAAATATAATTGAAATTGGCCAAAGAGCTTGAAAGTTAGTGTGGGAGAAGATAAAGGGACACAGATGCACATTAGTTTTATCTTATATTAGCTAAATACCAATGTCTAACTTGTGGATGTCAGATCAACCAAGGCCCCTTCACAGAGAGAGAGAGAGTTCTTTTTCTGAAATGATTGTCAAGGGAGCCTGGGATGACATGCAAAAGTAAGTATCTACACACTGAAGGTCTACCTGTGGTCAAATGAAACCTGCTTGGAGATACACAACCCAAAAGTTCACAAAAAAAAAAAAAAAGTCTTGTGTCTAAAGCAAGCCAGACTAAAAAAAAAAATGCAATAAAAGCAGTCTCATCTTGAAATGGTACCATAAAACTTGCAAAAGCAGACGCTTTGCAAATACAGAAAAAAAGGACACATTTTCATTGTTTTGCATGCTGTTAATATATTGTTGCCATTTCTGTGTATGTGTGTGTGGCACACAGAGCCAGAATTTGAGCTATACATAGGCAGTGGGAAGCATTAGGGAAAATACTTCTTTCCAGGAAATGCAGTTTAGGCATTTCTTTCCAGGAAATGTAATTTGGGCAGGAGTTAATATGTGTTACTTTTGTATGTAATGGTGAACTTTACTAAGTATGAATAGCCCAGCATAGTTTACCTTGAATAATTCTTTCTTCTGTTACTTTTTTCTCTGTCACTTCCACAGGTCGCCCATCAATGAATTTGGTGTATGTTTTAATAATTGGTTCTACAAGGATTTTTAAATTGAAGACATTAATCAAATGATGAACAGTGTTACAAGTGCTGTTTCTGAGATGTTGAAACCTACTGGAGCACACAAGGCAATACCATAGCATATTTTACAAAAAATAAAGATGTTCAGAGGAGACCAGGAACTAAGTTTCCTCCAAATTTAGCTTGGCCACATGTTTTTTTTTTTCCTTTAAAAGCACCCTAGATGTGAACTAGGGTTGCAGAAGGCAAAATTTACCTCTCTGTCTGATAAAATTGCCTTTCTATCACAGAATCACGTACTGCATTTTTGATTGCAGGCCAACAACCAGCAAATAATTCTTAACCGAGACAGATGTTATGTCACCATGCAGAGCATTTCTAACAGTGTCTTGACTGTAACTATGGGACACAGCTAGGCAAAAAAAACCCCTTTTTTTGAATTGCATGAGAAGTGAGAATGAAATGATACAATAAAATCACAACACTTACAGAAGGTCTTGCTAAAAACAGTTGTCTAACATGTCACATGAATCACCTACATAAAGTAGAAACTGACTGGGAATAGCGAATGTTTCAAATTTTAACTAATACAAATTGAGTTGCTGAAAGCATACCAACCTCCATGAATCACTTTAGTTATTGTCTCCCCTTCCCTGACTATTTTGAACTCAGGTTCCCCTTCAATTAATTTAGTGAGCTGTGTGATAGATGGGTCTGTGATATAGGAAAAAAACAACACGTTATAAATCATCATAGAAATATTTATGGTATTCCATGGGGCTGAGATGAAGCTAGAATTATCCCCCCTACCCTAAATAAACCAGATGACTGCAATGGAGGATTTTTTAAATCTGAGAAGCCATTTGCAGCAATGCTGAACAATCTTGCACTTCCTCCTATGCCATCTTAAATTTAGATCCTATTGCGCACTATTGTTTTGTTTTGTTTTTTTTTTACTTTTGTGTATCTGATGTTTTTAACATCTGTTGACAAGTCTCCGGCAAAAAAACAGATCCTCAGCAGCTGAAAGGAAACTCTTCCTCTACATGCATTGATGACAAACCTACTCTGAGTCATTACTGGAATCTTACAGCTATTGCTCCGCTAGTGATCAGTTGTTTTGGAAGGGGGGGAATTATTTCTTTTTGGTTTGTTTTTTTGTTGTTGTTGTTTTGGGGGGGTTTTTTTTTTTTTTTTTTTTTTTTTTTTTTTTTTTTTTTTTTGAGGTACCGAGACTTGGTCAGTGGTCACCCAGCTTAAAGAAAAAAATAAATAAACTTCAGAGATTAACTGGAATGGCTGTAAGGGTATTTGTCAGAATTAATGACTATTGTTGAGGTACATGGGAGAGGTCATCTTGATTTCAGTGGCCAAAACAAACCTCTTAATCTTATGCAATCCATATAGAACATGCCAATCTAAATGTATCTCTGTCTGACAGGCTGGAGCAGCAGATATTAAATAAATTAGGAACAAACCAGTGATGCAGTCAATTAACAGGAATAATGTGCTGTTTCTCTAACAAGAGTTACAGCAACATCTTCTATTAAAGAGTTGCTGTAACACACATTTCCCTTATTGCTTATTCAGAGTTAGAAACTTAACACAGTCCATCTCTCTCAGTTGCCTTATAAATCCCTTAAAAATCTTTCTTTACATGAATTTTTAAATTACTGATTAGGATTTAACAATAACTATTTAATATGTGTGCCTGGTGTTAATAGTTGAAAACTACAATTCAGGCTAACTAGTGTCCTTCAATAGTGACAAATTCAAGCATACACATTTTTGTTTGCTTTTGCAGCAGAAAATGACTGTGTAAGTTAGGCTTTAGAGCTAGAAGATTCCTTTATTTGCTGCAGATGAGGTGATAGGATCATAACAATGACCAGTTATTACAGAGCTCTATTCATCTACTCCGAGTTTTAAATAGCTGAACAACCCACTGCTTTTTCTTTTATATTCTAACAAGTGCGGCTGAAATATATTAATAACTATTTTAAAGAAACAATCTTACAAGATTCAGCTACTAGCTTCTGTTTTAAATTTAGAGGCATTTTTGCATGTTGAGAATCCATTAAATACCAATATACATTGATACAAGTACTGAATATTAATGAAAACATGTCAAAGGTATATTTATGGATATTTATAAATCAGGTTTTCTTTTTTTTTAGATTTCTAAATTGCTCTACTTTCTTATATGATTGATACAGCAAATGTGTGCAAAACAAGAGGTAAAGCCATAGTTTGCTATACTGCCTAGTCTAAGATCAATCCTTTGAACATTTAATCCATTAAGATTTGGGTTTCAATCAGACTTAACTCTTTAGATCACTATAACTTCCCTGTGTATGGGCAACGGAAGCACAACTCAAGTAGAAAACATCGAGACAGGAAAGGGCAGACATAACCCTCTGAATTTGGGGTGGGGGTGGTGTTATTTCTTTTTTTTACTGAAACCTCCCTTCTGCCACGATCTGCTAGATCTTCCTGACATATGTTGCAAAAATTAACATGCAACTTTGCCAGCTTTTTTCTACAGACAGTTGTGGGCTTAGACGTTTTTGATGGGAGCTGCCACTCACTACTGTTACTACTAGCAAGCTCAGAAGGGCCAGAATTGGCTTTAGTGGGTCTATTTCTGAATCATCAGCAGAAAGGCTGTATTGGCCAGAGATCACTCCTTGGAGTGTGTCCCACAGCAGAAACTCTGTACTGGCAATGGAAAGGAATTACTCTTCAATACTCACTAACTTATAAAGTTTTTTTTCTCTCTCTAGTGAATAGCAGTTGTACATTTTACTTTAGAGGTGCTCAGACTTTTTGTTTTTTCTCTAAAAGAGGGTATTGTTTCAGTTAACTTTCAACTTCTAAACATCATGTAAATCACCTGAACTATGTGACCTGTCTCTGATTTAAGATAGAAGAATAGGTACTTCCAGAGAGCAATTCACCTTCACCATAGGATGATTTCTAAAATATCTTGGATGAATTACAATACAGAATCATCTGTCCATTCATATTGTGGATCTGATGTAATGATAGAGACTAGGCAACAAAGATGAGCATATATGCTAGATGGTGTCTATTCCTCAGTGGGATAAAGCACAGGCAAGCTGCTGAAAAAGCAAACTCATTTCATTTGTGCTGGGAGGAAGTCTTTCCATTTTTGCAAGACATTTTTAACTCCTTTTCTTCTCAGCTGAGCTCAACCGGATTCCCTATAAGCATTTTTATTTCAGTGGGAAACTGGAGCTCATTAGCAGTGTACCTTGTTTACTGAAACCAATGGGTGTTTTAGTTAAGTTACAAATCACAAGTGATCTTGACAGTCCCAGCCCCACTTTTTGTTCTCTTCAGTACCACTAATAATCTTTAAAAGTCATGCTTTCACCTCAGGAAACTGAAAAAGAAAGTTTGGCTAACTGTCCTTTCCAGGCATCTGACAGATATTGGTATTTAGAACTGATTGAAAACTATGAAAAAATTATCTATCTTTTATTTTTTGATCAAGGTATGAGAAAAAAAATGTACTTCATTTTTTAAAATAACTGTTTTAATTTTTAAAAAAGGATTTTTTGTCATTAGAAGTATAGTAATATTTTGGCCACTTAAAAATATTTTGAAAGAAGATTATTTAAAATTTTTTTTTTAAATGCCTGTAGAAAAAGGAGAAAAAATGTTTGGGGAGAACAATTGTGGGAAATCTTTTTACACCAAATATTTCAGCCAGTTCTAATCACAATATTTGTATCTTTGCTTTTCCAGCAAAGTGCTGAATGTCCTGGATTTGTTATGTACAAAATGAATCCTGTTAAAGAAATATATAAGATATATATTCTGTATATGTATATGAACATATACAGAAATATATATACTAAGGGCCTCGTTTACCTTCCTTTCTGATGATGGGCTGGACGTTGCTTTCAATTATGTTAATTTCTGAAAGTATAGAAAGTGGAATATAAAGCACATTCCATTCTTACAGTTTCTTTATGGTAATGAGCAGTTAGATTTGGTCTATTCATAAAGATGTGGATAAAATCACAGATATTAATAGATGGAAAAGTAAGTTAAAAGGATCTAGAGTATGGATCTTGGTTCTAGTTACTATATGGTGGTGTATATGAGTCACCTGTGGACAGAGACTGCTGGCATGCTATTTGCCTTTGTTTGTGCCTTATGAAACCCACTGGTCATGAAACCTATGATAATGTAAGGTACATAATAATAATGGCTCATACAATTCCCTGCATAAAGATTTGCACAATTCCCTGACGTATCTTAAATTCAAATCTTCCCCTTTTCTTTTCATTGGGGGGCTGACCTGGTAAACAGAGGAAACCCTCTGATGTTCAGAACTATTCTTACACTTGATCGAATGTCATGGAGAGAATGACGATGGTGTCCTTGGGAGATCAAGTTGTCCCTCTATACCCGAGACAGACTCAAGTATTCACTGAATATCTCTGACAGATTGTTATTTGACTCATATCCATTCATTTGTAGAGAAGCTTTCACTGGTAGAGGTCCCAGCCTTCCTGTTCCTGCATTCAACTAAATCAACAGTTACAACTTCCTTGATGTCTGACATTGACCTCCCTTCCTTCAGTTTACAGGCATTGTTTCTCATGCTACTCTTACTGGCTGTGGTAGATATGATCATGGAATCACAGAATATCTTGAGTTGGAAGGGACCCATAAAGATCATTGAGTCCAACTCCCTTCTCCTAACAGGACTACCTAAAACTAAACCATACAACTAAGAGTGTTGTCCAGATGCTCCTTGGACTCTGACAGGCTTGGTGCTGTGACCACTTCCTTGGGCAGCCTGTTCCAGTGGCCGAACACCCTCTCAGTGAAGAATCTTCTCCTGATGTCCAGTCTGAACTTCTCCTGACACAGCTTCATTCCATTTCCTCATGTCCTATCGCTGGTCACCAGAGAGAGGATATCAGCACCTCTCTCTCCGCTGCCCCCCTTGAGGAAGTTGTAGACTGTGGTAAGATCACCCCTCAGCCTCCTCTTCTCCAAGCTGAACAAACCAAGTGACCTCAGCCACTCCTCAGAATTCTTGCCCATGAGACCTTTCACCATTTTGGTTGCACTCCTCTGGACACACTTTAATAGTTTGATGTCCTTCTTACATTGAGCCGCCCAAAACTGCACACAGTACTCAAAGTGGGGCCACACCAGAGCAGTGCAGAGTGGAACAATCACTTCCCTCGAGCAGCTGGCTATGCTGTGCTTGATGCACCCCAGGACATGGTTGGCCCTTTTGGCTGTCAGGGCACACTGTTGACTCATATTCAACTTTCCATTAAGATAGATTATTCCATTTTTTGTTCCAAGAGTCTTTTAACTTCAGTGCGTGCATTCTCAGTTTCAAAAGCCTAATGTGATGGTCTCCATTTCTACTGAGAAATGTGGGTAGAATCCTATAGAAATTTAATAATCTGCCTAAATTCTTATTCCTTCACAAGCCAAAGCTTCAGTAGGATCTTTGTCTTCTAACAGTTTGCTTCAATAGGTTCTTCTTTATATGCAGAAACTAAATGTAAACCCTGCGAAAGGCTACAAGAGAGCAAAAAAGGTTCCTTTTTTACATTTACTCCCCAAAAAGAAAATGGTCAGAACAAATGCCTACCATACAAACCTCATATTTGAACATATGGAAAACAGGTGGAACAGGTGCACTCTGTCCCTCTGGAAGCATTTATAAAAATGAAAGCATCTCAGTGGAGAGTTTGGTCAATGCTACATCTTGGAGAGTCAGTACAGTACAATGCTACATCCTGGAGAGAGAGTAGTACAACTTCGCTATGCACCAAGCACTGAACGTTGGCTAAAAACTGAAAAACAATCTTTTCCATATGTATCTTGCCTATCCCAAAGAGTTTGAACAACTTACTTCAGGGTTACTTTCCTGTTACACATCTGGAAAGTGAAAAAAATATATACAGTATCATAACAGCCAGAAACATTCTACTTTGAGTCTGTCTCTTCCAGCGCTTCACTGGCACATCTTACTTTCCCAGAAATTGCTTTCTTTTTGATTGAATAAAAAGATCTACAATTCAAGATTGGAACAGGCAACACAAAAAGCAATCTCAAACCCATCTGGAAGTATTTAAAATGAACTTACTGTAAAATGTCAGTGGAATCTCTTTGAAGGTACTGTCACGAACAAACTATAAATATAGAAAAAAAGTAATTTTAAAATTTAAAAGAAAGAACACTTGGCTTCTAGTTTCTTAATGAGTGCCAGTAGGATTCACTGCTTCATTGATCTAAAAGTTAGGCTATGCTATTTGCCTAGGTTTTGTTATTCATTGTTGAGGGAGAATGTAATCTTAAGAGGATAGGTGAGAGAGGTAAGGATGCTTATTTTTCTCCAGAGGCTATTGAGGATGGTGGGCTTAATGACATGGAAATTTAGCCACTCTATATTTCTTTCAAAGAGGAATTGCGTCGAGGATTGAGAAGTGATTTATTTTGCTGGAGTGATAAAGTGTACCTGAACCAAAGAGCAGACTGGGGCCAGTTCACATAGGAGTTATCCAAATGCAAACATTCTACAAGTATTTGGTGTTGAAAAACATAAATTCTAACTGTTGAGTGCACTGCATCATTCATGATTATATTTGGGTAACCAGGAGCTATTGAATGTGTTGTCTGCTGAAGAAACAGAGGAGGGACCAGAGAATAACTTATAAAGTATACAGTTTCACAGACCCTGCCAAAAAGACAAAGGGATCATTATTTAGAGAGTACCTTAATTTGAATGTACTTAATTAGCTTCTTCAGGATTGTGAGCAACTGATCATTTCCAACAGGCAGATCTGACAAAAGAAATAGGCATGTAAGAGGAATCATACATATGTGTTCATTTTACTTTTATTTACAGTGATCATGAGAAGTTATCAGTCACAGAAGTGTGTACTTGTACATATACATTCTTCCATATTAGTAAAAAAGATAGCTTATGGCATCTTGTCTTTCATATACTTGACTTTCTCTGAATTTCAAAGAGTTTTTCAAAGAGATCATTCCACAAAATGAGTAGTGAGGTAAATTTTCTGTTTCTTATTCCACATAGGAATTGTGTCTTTAAAGGAATTAACTTTTTTAAGTTATTGCACCTAAATAGCACATAAACAGATTCAGAAGAGCGTGTATAAATTCCATGACCTAATACTTACCTGCTGGATATAGGAGTTTATCAATAACATGAATGACACCATTTGTTGCCATGAGATCAGATTCTCTTGATTTCAGTTCATTAACCAGAAGAGTATCATTCACCTGGTAAAACAGGGACATTAAAAAACAATGTTTTTTATTCCATGTGGATAGACATGGAATGTCAAATCCCTGTTACAAGACTGTGTCGAGGACACTTCTTTTTCAACACTTAACTATTTTCAAGTAGAGTTTCCCTCCTTGGATGGTTTTAAGAATGTTTGTCACACCAGGCTCAAAGCCACTTCCAATGAAAACTCCTTGCGTCAAGTGGTAAAGAAGAATATTCCTGAGAGCATTTTTGTCTCCTATTTAAAAAGAAAAGAAAAGTAGGAGTAAAAATTAAATTATAATGGATAGTTTTTTCTGGAAATTCTAAGGATTCACACAGGCTTGAGCCAGAATTAAGCATAGTATCAATGAAACTAACATGAACACATACAATTTGAATCTGTTCAAATGATAAAGGAAAAAATCCCAACCATGTAACAAAAAAGCTCTCAGAACATAATCATAAAAATGCTATGAGAACTCCTATACAAAAGAACAGAAAAGATGCCAGCATTTACCTATTTTGTTGTATTTTCTCTTATTTGCTTGCACCTCTAATCAGAATTTTTTGCCCTTTTCTTAAATATGCTCCACAAATCATTCGCAAGCATAATAATTTCAGGAGCACTAAGCTGTCTGAGATGTCAAATTTCACCAAGCTACTAGATAAGCTCCAGTCTCAGCATTGTTGTAATTAAAGGGAACCATAGCTAACACTTAATGTAATTATTCTTTTTTGGCAACAGCCTTCTGACATGACTGGGGATAACTCACAATTCTTTATATACAAACATCTTTTTCCATCTGGGGCAGGAGAAAGTTGCTATTTACTTCAGGCAGAAAAGAAGGAGTGATTTGGAGTATTGGTTTCATCTGTTCTTACAGAGAACAGACACAGCTTGGAGAAGTTGGGAAAGGGGGAAAGAAACCCTTATTCAAGGGATGATTTCCATATTTCAAAGTTTGACATTCCTATTTGGGAAGAAAAGAAAAAAAAGCCAACATTTTCAAGACTGTCTTAAAAATGAAATGGATTCTGGAGCCCAAGTTAGTGTCCCGACAGGGCTTTCTGGTGCTCTGGGTCCGTGGAGGTTCAGAGTCATAGGATGGGTTGTAGGAATACCCACAACCTCCCCAGGAGATGGGGTACTAAGCAGAGCAGTTTGAAAACACATCTGCTTGCCGTTACATGGAATATTGGACATTCTATTACAAGTTTCATATTAGCATTACACACTGATATTGATTGTAATTAGGAGTTTCAGCCTGGATGAAACAGCAATGGAAATACTCTCTGGTTATAATTTTTTCCTGGTGTCTCTTTCAGTGAACATTTTTTCTTTTTCTGCTTTTTGCGTTGATCACTGATACTACTGAAATTCACTTCACCATTGAAATGCAATTAAATACTCTTTTTCTTCCTACTAGATTTGGACCATTCATAGATAGTGTCAAGTTACATACAAAGCCTAAACATGGCCACCCCAAAGCTGTTTTCACAAACTATCAGATTACCTTTGTTCTATGCCACAATGGTTACTGGTTAAAATAATCTTTCTTTTTTACAGATAAACAAAATATTTCTTTATATTCCTTAAAAATATTACATATGTAAGGTTTAATTTTTTATGAAGAAAGCAACATAATGTCTTTAAAGAAAGCCAAGACAGAATTTCAGAAAATAACCTGACATAAAAAATGGACATGCTGCTGCAGCAAAAAAATAATGAGGGTAAATGAAAATCTCATCTGCCAAGGAAAGTAAGTAGAAACTGAGTCACAAAATAGGAAAAGATAGTACACGAAGCCCTTTGAAAAGCAGAATGGCAAATATGATTGTATTCTTAATTATAGAAATAACCAAAATGGCATGGGCCTTGGGTAAAACATCAAGTTGTGAATTGAAGACAAAAATAATAGACCTGTTAAACAAAATCTTAGTTAATAAATAATTATATAGTCCAACAAAAACAGAATAATGGCATTTATCCAGTTACTTCAGTATACAGCCTTGAGACAAGCTGCATTTCATTTTATATTTATCTAATGATAGTCATTTAGGCTATCTGTTAATTGACTGTTAGTCACCAGAGACATGCCATGCGAGGAGGTAATTTATACTGCTATCATAAATTTAAATGGCTGAAGAGATAATTCAAATTCACAGTGCCTTATTAGTGAGTTAAAGTCTGTATAGAGCTGGGGTTGCTGCTTATCAGTGCTCTGAGCTGGACTCTTTGAAGTCATTAAAGATTCATGGGATTTGGCTTCATGTCTTTGAACTCTGAGCTGAAAAGTGCAGGAACGGAAAATGTGACTGACGTTCTGGATGTGGGATTCAAGGCAACCACTCATCCCGCACTTGTGTACAGGCCAGATTCACATTACTCCCAAATAAACTAAAAATATTTACAGTGCTGTGGCCAAAGTCTATGCCTCTACTGGGAAATTCTGCAGGAGATTTGAAGTATTCACTGCACACTTCTCTTACAGAAGTAAAGCATGACATTAAAGAAGCTACTTTTAAGTCTTGTGAAAAATCTATATAATTCCAGAGTTTTAAAGTGTAAGATGGAAAGAAATTACATAAATTGGCATTTAGCAATATATATTCAATATTTCACTTGTAGACCACAGGTGATATCAGAGATCATGGAGTCGTGGCAGAGAAGAGAAAGGAAAGGGAAGATAGGAAAGTCAATGCTACGTATCTTTTAATGCAATGATCACAGCTAGGAAAGAAACACAATAGAAGAAACTCAAAAATCTATAGCAAGGTTGAATGATGAAAAGTTGAAGCTGATTAAATGAATGGGGATTTTAACTTAGAAGGTAATAACACCTTGGAATAATATAACAAGGATTGAAGTTTAAATTTAAATTCAGGTTGGATGCTTTTTTCAAAAAATATATTTATCTTACATGAAGGAATTAATTTAGGGAAGCCCTATGACCTGCTCTATGCAAAAGATAAACTGTTTTATCAGGCATCTTTTGTGTAAGAAATGCATTACCCACCTTTCCCATTGATTTTACCTTTGCTTATATTTCTGTTTTTCTTACGTTACTTACTTATCAATATATCCTTATCGTCATCAGTCAAACCTTTAAAGGCATCATTAGTTGGAACAAACAGAGTCCATTCTCCAGGCCGTGACAGAACATCATCTAAATCTGCTGCTTTCACCAGACTGAGGAAAATGCTGTTTACAACAGAAAAAACACAAATACATTCTGTTGAAGTGCAGTAACTATACTTTGGTCTAGACACTTAGTTCCCTATTTTTTTCTGATAGTGCTTCCATCTCACTATTTCCCAGAAATAAAGACAGTAGAAGAGGAAAATGAGGGGAAAAGAGACAGTCTTAAGAATAGCAGGCTGAGGAAAAAGGATTTGAGAAAAAAAAAAAAACAGATCAAAGAGATGAAGGGAGGATGCCAAGGGTAGTTGCTCTCTCTAGGCGAATTGAGATACTTGCAAGAAAGGGACAGAAATATATACTGGAAGGGTATGCAATTGTGCTGCACCCGTATGGAATTGTACTACTAGTTAATTAAACCTCCAGATTCAGCTGTATTTATAGGTCTGGATGTATCACCCAATCCCTTTTGTCCTCTTAGTCCTCTCGTTCTGGTGCCTTACTGACTCCTATGTGCTTTGAACAACCATTCTAGCATAAAGTCTAGGAGCCCTTTCAGCATACAGCTGGAAGACAACACATTTTCTTTCCTCGCTGCCTCCCCTCCGCCTTTTTTTTTTTTTTTTGAAGAGATGATAACCCCTTCCCTGCCCCTCAAAATCCAACAACCCACAGCCCACAACTATTCCTCAGACCAGCTGTGCTGTATATACAGTTACCCTCTGTAGGAAAATCTCAGTGCTGTCAAAACTGCTACTCACCTAAAACGCTTATCATTTCTCAGCATTTCATGCAATGACTTTTCCGCTGGATTGATGATCTGTCTGAAGATGTGAATAAAACCATTTCTTCCTTCTTTACTTCCTCTGATCATGCATGAATTTTCAATACAGACAGCCTGATTAAAAGAGAAACAAATGTAGGTATACACACAATGATACACATGTAAACATATTTGATAAAATGAGACTGATACATAGTTTCCAACGGGCTCCTAAATTCAAATATAATATTCATATCTACTTCCTACAGTCAAATTATGTGTTCTTGCCAGGATAACTGGTAGTGCTTGAGAAAGCAAAAGTAGCAAAATCTGAAGTAAGTTAATATCGTGTGAATATTTCCAAACTTGACTTTTTTGTTTTCATTGAGAATGTTCTTAATTAGTTCTAAAAACTAGATTTAAAAATTTGTAATTAATGGAATTCCAAATCTGGAATCCTGTTTCGGTTTCCCAAAGAGTCTTCCATGCAAACAGTGTTCCCATCTATAAAGATGAGATTTTAATTTTATCCTAGCTTAAAAGCTTGAAGATTTTTGCTAGATAGTCATAATGGTAAATGTTGGGGGGTTCATTCAGCTTTGTCTTTTACTCTTTCATGACTCTTAATTTTCATAGTTGGGATACTTATCATTAGAAAGTCCCATTCACTTACTGTGCGATACACGAAGACTCTAAGCAGTTTTCCTCCAAGTGTCTCCAGCTCTTGTCCATTGTACAGTTCATTGAGCCCAACTTTCACTTTTATAATGTGATTCTGCAGGATGGTTTTAAGAAGGCGCTGATCCATCCTTAAGGTGTCATCTACAAAGCCATTTAGATATTAATATATACTGATTTATATAGTGAAATTTCATTTAAATGAGGTTAACTGTGGATGCTATATTAAAACACCATGGAAATACTGACTCTTTTAAATTCTTGAGTTAAGGCTTGGACAGATCTGTTTACACAGAAAATGAATTGTTAAGTAGTTTTGCAAATTTCCATTCCTTAAATTCATGACATGAACTTTTAACATAGACCTGATGAATTACTACAAATAATATGGCAGGTGATTTACATGTGGGCCTGCTCCATCTTCTGAATTACTGCTGAAATTCTTATTACAACTTTTCCTTTCTGCATGTGCACCTTAGAATCTTTTCATATTTGCTTCTGTGACGGTGAGTTAACACTTGAATTTTTTGGGGAATGGCAGGATGCCCATGTGGTCATTTTGGCAAATATGTACACACCTGTTTTATAGTGTATTTGTATAAGTTTCTCTCTGCTTTAATGTACTGGAAAATACTAACCTTCTTATATATTTTTTTTGAGCATAAATAAGTTGTGAATTTAACACAAGTAATGCAAATATTAAGGGAACTGGCAGTTCCTTAATAACTTTCCTTTCCCACAATCTGTCTGTGCATATTTTGTACCTTATTTTAGTGATACTATTTCCATTAACAAATGATACCACTAAAAACAAGCTGTGCAGCCTGGTGGTTAGGCTTGTTTTGTCTTTCTGCATGATATGTATTTTGAAAGGATGAAGTATCTCTATTTCTCTATGGCCCTCTTTCCTTGCGACTTAGAAGAGGTTTTGGGGCTTATTTGGAAAACTGTCAGGGTAGCATATATTCTTTTTTATTTTGAGATGCAGAGCATAATCTTTTAAGGCTACTAACCTGAGAAAGCACCATTCAGTGGTGCCAGGAGAGTGTATTGGCCTTCTGGTCTTAGAGAAGACGCCAGTCCTAGCTGTGCCACAAGGTCTGTAAAAGTAGTCTGCTGGGCACCCCCGAGTTCAATGACTTGCTTGGCTGCAAATAAAGGAATAAGAAAAGGTATTTTAACACACAATTTATTGCCTTTCCTGATTGGGATTTTCCATGCTTGTCCATAACAATATATTTAAGGGAATCTAGGTAAGACTGTAGAAAACATTTTCAGTATAAGACATTTTCATACACATCACTGACCAGAATCAGGAATTAGCACTTCATCAATGAGGTGGATAACACCATTGCTTGTCACAATATCTTTGCGTTTCACCATCTTCACTCCATTCACAGTCAGGCTTTGACCATCACAACCAACTTCAACTGTGTTTCCTTCTAAGGTTTCATAGACAGCTCCACCTGTGATGGCTTCAGAGCACTGGAGAGTATTTAAAATATGGAACTTCACGAGAGCTGTGAAGGAAAGAGCAGGAAGTTCATGTACAGGTGTTTGGGCACATATATTCATATATATATATATAAAATTCACATGTAGGTGTGGGATAAATTATTACATCTACACTATTTTTAATAGTTTACTAGCTTATCTGCCGTACTTGCTTATTTGTACTCATAGATTCTTTACTGAAAGTTATTTGTATGAAAATTGATACTACAGGCCACTAAACAACAATCTATTGTCAAAAACCTTTGGCATCCCTTGTATTATGAAATCTATACTGGTTATGCTGTGATCTGCATGTAACAGAGTATATAACTCGGTGACCGCAGATGATATGATCCAAATGGACCTCTGAGTACAAAACTCCATAGGCTATGCAAAGGCAAAGTCAGCCTTTATATTTTGTTATGCTTTACTGTGCAAGTGAGATTCAGTGTACTATCCTCTGTGGGTACCAAAAGAACCAGACAAAAATTTCTGAAAGTAAACTGAAAAAAATAATTAAAAAGTCACTACAAAAATGTCGTGTGATTTCAGAATCCCATTTTTAGTCATTGTCTCACATTAAAATTATCCCAGATCCCTTTATTTTCCACAGTTCTCCATTGAGATACTACTGAATGCCTTAATCAGACTATAATGAAATAGTGGAGAACTTGTTTAGTGGAGTGGAACTCATAAATGAGAATACAAATGTAGCCTTCCATTCCTTAGTGGACCATTACATTACTGTTCACATACCAGACTGATATGGTTATTATATAGTGTTATTGCAGTTCTCAGAATAAGTGTTATAGTTTTTCAGAATATATAGTATAAATTCAGTTCATCTTGCAGGGCAGAGCTGGTGTTTTACAAGAACATGTCATTTTTTGTATGAAAAAGCTGTTCATGAGGAAGCTATGAGAGAATCCTACATTCAGGTGGCCCTGCATTTCTAAGAGACAGGATTCTCTGCCAGAACTATGCAGGTGAACTATTAGAAACATCAATGGTCCTGTATTTTCAGTTTCCTTTAAACTGTTTGGAAACTACTTTTTCAGTGAATTTGAAGGTAACTGGAAAAATCAAAGACAGAAGATAACTCCTCCTGTATGTATGAAAGTACAGGTGCTTTATTTCAGAGCTACTAAGATAGTGCAATTTGTACCTCCTGATCTACTCAGCTGTCTTTCTCATTTTTTTTTTAAAAAAAAGGTTACATACCCTCAGAAGCCACCTTGTCACCCATGATCCTTTCTAAGAGTCCCCTTGGAAGTTTCTCAAAAGCTTCATTAGTAGGAGCAAAGAGTGTGTAATGACCAGGCCGTCCAAGAACATCCAAGACATCTGATGTGATGGCAGCAGCCTGGAAAATAAATTTGGTTTTTAATGTTACTTGTTTAAAATATTACCAAAATACATTATCTGTCTAGTTTCACCTAGTGCCCCCAGGTACTTTAGTGCTGGACTGAGATCAGTGTTATAGAAAGACAAAAAAATGAATTGACAAAAAGGAATAGAAAATTTATTTTGTGGGAGAAATGTATCTTGATATACCAAGTTCATTCCTTCATTTATTACACAGTAATCAATAAATTCTGACAGAGTTGACAAGAGGGCAGATTTTTTTATTATTATGGCCTGAATAATTAAATGAAAAATGTAAACATATAGTTTTTGACAAATTAGATCAAAGCTATGGTCAAGCAAAACTAATAATTTTCCCCTGAAATAATAAAAAAATATATTACACGTGTATGACTAATTTGATTAAATACAAGGAAGAGGTTTTGAATCACAACAGGAGTCTGAGGAGTGACCTCATCGCTCTTGATAGCTTGCTGAGGAGGTGAAGTGGAGAGGGAGGTTCTGAGCTCTTCTCACTGTTATCCAGTGGTAGGATGCATCGGAATGGTTCAAAGCTGCATCAGGGCAGGCTTAGACTTGACATTAGGAAACATATCTTTACAGAGGGTGGTCAAACACCGGAACAGGCTTCCTAGAGAGGTGCTCAATGCCCCAAGTTGATGCCCCTGCACAATGCTCAATTTGAACAATGTCCTTAGTAATAATTGGTCAGGAAGTTGGACTAGATGATCATTGTAGATCCCTTCCAAATGAAATTTGTCTTCTATTCTATTCTAACTTATCCTGTCCTATCTATCTCAGGCACTGAGGCAAGGGAATATTATTTCCAGGTTTTCAATCCCTAATTGTTACTTAGTTCTGGACATCAAAAAAGTAAAGTTAAACAAAATTGATGAAAAATTCTCTGCTTTCTAGTAATGAATAAGAGGTAAGAAGTCTGAACTAAATAAAGCCCAATTCAATTTTTTTTTTAAAAAATATAATTTCCCTTTTATTCCTTAGATAAATCTTCTTAACTTGTTTATAAATCTCCTCTGTACAACCCCACAATTTGTGTGTTTCCATGACTGGATTAATCCTAAAAGAGAATACTATAACAATAACTTCAGTGGCTGCAACCTGTCTTTACTAGAGTCAAAGATGGAAGAAGAAGTACAATGCAGGAAAAGTAATCAACAATACAAGAATATATGATGGATTAAAAGGGTAATATTACAGATTATGCCAATATAAATTACGCTCGGATTTTCTAGAAAAAGAACATATGTAAAAGTGAACACATCTGGACTTGAGTAAAGAACTTTCTCAGTTAAATAAGAAATGCTATTAGGTCAACCTAAGACAGAAAAGTAAGTGCAGATGAAGCTGGTGAACTGGAAGATGGGAATAACCATATTATAACCAAGAAATGTCATATTAGAGTCTCAGGGCTGATTTTATTAAAGGGTTTCATTAGCACATTTGCTTTTGGAGCCCAAGTCTAAAGCAGTATGAAGTGCAGAGGTGCGCACACAGGAATTAACAGGTGTGTTACAAACAAGGACTTCACCCTTTGAAATGTCAGAAAGGCAGAATGCACTGACATGCAACTGAAATAAAACCAAGCATGATGCTAGTGTGTATCCTGGAAACCAGTAAGTTCTTTTCAAGCAGAGTTAGGGAGGCATGCAAGTTAATATAAAAGGAATAGGAAAAACCTTATCTAGGATTATGTGAAAATGTCTGCCTAGAGTTCACAAAAGTTAAATCCAAATAGAAGAGATACAAGAAAGAATTCACAGGAAAAAATGAGAGGGCTTCTCTTTCAACTGGAGACTAAAGGGCTGGCTTTTATATTCTTGTTTTGAAAGGGATTAAATGATGTAGTTGCCTCCAACTGTCATGGACTAGATTTAAGGGGTTCAGAGGGTCTTTTCCACCTTTATGCCTCTGAATTTAAATTATTTTTTATTTATTTATTGAGGAGAAGGAGGAGGGAAAAGCACAACAGCTATTTGTAAAACATGGCATATTTTTTTAAACATGTGCAGCATGAAATTCCATTAGACTAAGGAGACACGTCTTCTAGAAGAAGGAGGAATCGTAAACTTGGACAGAACATAATCCCCTGCTTCCTCTGTGCAAGAAAAATCGTACCTACATGTACCTACTGGTGTTCTGAAACTTGCTATGTCAGGTTCTGGAATTTATTTGGGTTTTTTTACCATTTTCTATCATCTGTTTTGAAATTATTCTTATTTATCTAGCACCAGCCACTGTAACTTATGCTCACATGTTTCATTACCTCAGTGATTGAAAAGAGGACACACTTTTTTATGTACAGGGACACATTCTGTCCTATTTATGTGGTCTTATTTGATCCACAAAAGAGCAAAAGCAGACTCCGTATGTAAAATATACTTTTCCTTTTTATATACCTAGATTTTCAGTATCATCTGGAGTTCTTAATTTAATTTATTTCTGCCTCTTACCGAACTTACTTCCAGGTATCATACACAAACAGAAAAGAAAGAAGAAAAAAATAAAAGACCAGAGAAGTGTTTTTATTTTTGTCCACTTACTCTAAGAGATGAAAGATCATCCTCGACTTCAATGAAATCTTGAATGGTATTTCCAACAGCAGTCAGGACACGATCAATGACATGAACAACACCATTGGTAGCAATCTGGTTGCCGTGAATGACCCTGGCACAGTTAACAGTAACAACCTATATTTGAAGAATCAAGCAGTAGAAGATTAGAATCATAGAACTGTATAGGTTGGAAAAGACCTTTAAGATATCAAGTCCAACCATTAACTTAACACTGCCATCCCACCACTAAACCATTAAGCATTAATTTGATCATATACTTGGAATTTGATAGGCAATGCATGTAGATGTACATTATTCACTCTTCTTTCAGTTTTTATTTTAATTTTTAAATAAAATCTTTTAAGATTTAAAAGGCTGACTAAGCTTCTGGAAAGCTAGCAGCAGATTTATTCAGGCTACATTGATTTCATATTCATGTTTTATTTCTTATTGCAATAATTCAGATTTATTTATATGGTTAATATAGTGATTGTATTATTTTTCACTAATATAAACTGTAGTGCAACATACACAATTCAGTGCATTTAAGGCAACTAATATGAATTACTTGACTGGGAGATTTCTAGCATTTATAAAAATGATTTTTTTTCTAGCCAAATAACGGATGTGTGTCTCCTACAATCTTAAATGCTTCTACTATGCACTCCAATTCAAATAAAAGATCTGACTTAATATTCTTTTGTAAACACATGAAGATTAATGGTAGATTTTGCTCTCAGATTTATTATGATCCTGTCTTTTGGCCACAAAAGGCTTTGTCTTTTAGGAAGAAAGTTCATCCTTGCTTGAACTTTGATTTCTGAACAGCAGACAGCACACGTTCATTAACTTTTTCTTAGTGATTAGTCTACACAACAGACAAAATTTCTTCAAGAGAAATGTATTTATTTTTGTCAGTGGCAACAGCTATGTTAAACATTCTATAGCCTATATTCTTAGCTATAGAAGGAAATAAAGGAGAAAAGTAATGGCTATAACTGACTAATTATATTAGGGGAAAAAAAAGAGAATAGACTTACCCCATTAGGATAATGGTTAATAAGCAATTTCTGGTCATTATACATAGACACCAGAGTCATGCCATTCTTAAGATCTTTTGTCAAAATGCGCTTGTTTACCATGTGGTGGTGGAGAGCATTATACAGTTCAATATTTACATTGTCAACCAAATTCCTGTGAATTTCCTGAAAAAGAAAGGAATTTAATTAATTAGAAGCTTTAAAACATTCTTCCAGTTGGAAATATGTACATATTGCTTTACCTTAACATATGCTTTCCATATATTCAACAATGGATATTTCCTGTTAGGAGGCATGACTTCAGTACCTATCAGTCTGGCTCTATTTAAAAGATGCTTTAGTCTGATTTGCTCATGAATGGAAGACAAGAGGTCTCATCACAGAGAAGTCATTGGAGGAGCTTTGATTCAACATTTATTTAGCTAAAAACATTACTAAAAGAAGGACACCTGAATCATTGACAAAGTACAGTTATACACTATAGTTATATACTATATCACGCACTTGCTGGAATTCCTGTCAGTTTACCATGAACTATGCCAATAACACTAACAATATTAATATTTGTCACACAAGTGCTAAAATAAAAAACACTTACAGTTTCTTAGTAGTCCTGAAAATAAATTCAGACTTTCTAGCTTCAGTAATGCATGTTAAACATGCAAATTATTTTATTCTATCTTGTGTAACATCCTTTTATATCTAAAATATCAATATTGTTTCTAGTCTATCTTATCATAGACTAGCTGTTGCAGCTAAAACAACATTAGCTGAAAGAGAAACATACTTTAACACATGCATACACACACATATACACACTTACTGAACTTAATTGCTCCCAGGCTTCATTGCTTGGTGCAAAGAAAGTGAATGATCCTCGTCCCTCAATCTCTTCTCTCAGCTTTGACATGTCAGCATAGTGCTGTGTGGAGGTAGCTCCCACAATACCAAGTGTACCATATACATGATCAATAGGAGCAACTAAAGTAAACATGAAATAGGAATACTGTAAACTCTTCAGTCATCCAGTTTCTCACAATCAAGTCTACTTTCTTTCTTTTGGTTGGACAATAATATTGCCTTTCTGAAACCATTTAAATCAATATTAAAACAATGTGCTTGAATTAAAATTCCATTGTCAACATTCTCAAAAAACATCCAAACACAACTGCTTTTTTTTTTTTGTTTGCTTAATGAAAAAATGGATCAAAAAACCCCCAAATATTGTAATGTTTTCTTTAGAAGAGTTGTCTTGTTTTGTGCCAATGCGACCTGAAATGGGAGGCTATACATTGAGGACAGGAGTGAATTCCATCTATAATCACAAAAAATTCAATGGAGTGGGTCTCATTTGGTCATGGTGGACCACAATTCTTTCTGAGAGACCTCTTGCTCTTCTTCCAGTATATGGTTTGTGCATACATGGATTTATCAAAATAGTAAGAATGGCATTAACCTCTCCTAATCCTATGCATGTATAAGTGAGGCATCTGCATGTTAGCTAGTTGTTCTTGGCTCTTTTTATGGTCATGGAGAGGAGCGGGTCATTCTAGAGTGTGAATGACTTCATCCTAATGTAAACATCTACAGTGTGATTAATTCATCTAAACAAACTGAACTCTGCCTTAAATATGCCTAACTCCTATTGAATATAAAAGGATTAGTTCAGATATAGAATATATTTCATAACTTTAGATCCCTTTCTCAGATTACTCTGCCGTGCTGCAATGAATTTTATTTATGAAAAACACAATAGCACAAATAGGAGAAATCAAGAATTCCTGTCTTCATTTTCACTCCTTCTTAGTTTGTTTAAAGCCTATAACACTCTTGTGGTAAATAATATTCAAATCTTCTCAGGAAAAGGAATAAACAGAATTTAGATACGCCACACCTCATGTCCTGGGTTCCTGACCTCACTGGTATGATTTAGGTTATTCTGGGGTGTGATGGGAATAGGAATAAAAAATGTTCTTTGGCAGCTTTGGGAACTGCAGACATTATCATTACTGTCCAACCCAGCAACTGGAAGGAGCTGGGAAATTCAATTTAAACTGCATGATCAAATTCAGTGCTGGCTGATCTTTAATTACACTAGCTGTATGCAAATGAAGCTGTGTATTCTCAGGCAGTAATTCTTAAAAAGAAGCAATAATTTCTCAAGATGACCACCTTTGAAAGTCTCCTGTGTTGTAATACTTCTCGTATACTGACTCATCCATATGAATAAAATAAGCTTGTACCTGCAGGACATCCTCTCATACCATCCATCTTCATATAGCCAGGACAGCACTCATATAAGACAGTTCTGTGGGATATAGACAAAAGCACAATTAAATAATATACAGGGCAAGTGTATACTAATCTTAGCTGAGTCTATTTTTTTTATTATTATTATTAATTTGTTATTGCTAAGTACACACTCTCCAGATCTCCATCCCTTTTTTATCATTCAACCTTTTCTGTATAGGCTACAATTTGATTGTATTCTACTAAATGCAAGGCTTTTGAATTTACAGAATGACTGCCATCATTAAGTTCAAGTGCTAGGAAGGAACATGTGAGGGGATGTGGATCTCGTAGAGTTATTAAAAGATGTTGTGACTAGAACAGCAGCTGAAGAAAATTAATTTAACTGATCTATTTTGAAAATGTTAGATGGGATTGAAGAAAGGGGAAAAATAAAGGAAGTGAGGACATTGAGAGAAACTGGTGGCAGCAGGGTTGCAAAGGAAAAAAAAATTAAAAATGAACTGAACAGAAACTAAAATGACAGAACTACATGAGGTCACCTACATATTGGATATAGGAACTAAGCATGTATTTAGGAGAAGGTCTTGAGAATTGTATGGTGATAGAAATTGGGATGTCAGAGTCTCAGTTTTTCAAGGAAGACTCAAGAAGCTCAGGAATGAGGGAGAGAACTAATTTAGAACAGACATAAAGCAGATAGTAGAGAAGGAAGGCACTAAAGACTGGATGAATGGATGGGCACAAAGGAAAGTTCAGTAGTAAATGTAGTGATGATGAAAACCAGATTACAACAAATCAAAAACAAAGTTAAAAGAGTATGTCATCATAGCATACCTAGATTTTAGCAATACCAGGGACCAGGAACTGTTTTATAATGATGTCAACAAAATATTTTAATTTTTGAATATGTGTAAGCTATACGTAAGAGCAAACCAGGGCTAACTGATAATTCTATACTAAAACACTCAGTTTAGCACTGATAGTCTTATAAGATATAATATCTTCTTAATTTATATGACAGAAACAAAAGCTCTACCATAGATCTGCTTGACAAATTCCCTCTTACACAAAAGTGCAAATTCACTAAGGTAATCACAGAGTTGATTTTGGCTCCTTGGGAGAGGGGATGCCAACAAATTATACAACCTTACCAACGTCTAAACCCTAAACTTTAAGACATTAGACTTCAGATATTACTTTTCAAATTATGGTGCACTGTGAATGACAAGGAAATATTGCCATCATGGTTTTACATAATAGATTTATTTTTATAGGTGTGGCTGATTTTGGCAGTGCTGGAGTTCTGAACACAAATTCCTTGAAGGTTTTTGCTGAGTCTTTACCACTTACATTCCAGCTTTTAATTTGTAGACTCTTTGGTGGCAGCTGAGTACACTTCTCTCATTTTTCATAAAGTAAAGCTGACTAAACATTAACCACGCACACGTTAAAATGAACAGCTTATTCAAATGAAAAGTTGGACTTAAGACCTTCAACATCCAAACCACTTGAAGAGATTAAAAAACAAAAGTAGACTGGAAGAACATTATCATTACAAAGCATGATTTTAAAAGTGAGGATTATAACTCTATAATTGACAGCAAAATGATAGAGCTGGTGAAGAGCAAAAAAATTTTTTTTAAAAATCACATAGTCTTTCATTTCTCTGTGCTATGAAAATATTTTATCTCCATTCCCTCATATGCATATACACATATGATATATTCACCCTTCTGCCTGTGCATCTTCTCAGCTGAGAAGCCGTATTTTGAAAGTATTTGTATAGTTTGTTTTAACATATCTTTTTCTTTAAAACAATTCACTGAATGGTTATTTCTTGGGAATGCAAGAATAGCGCACAGTTTAGGCTACAGATTTTCTAACTAATGAGGAAATTAACCTCATACTCTTCCTCCTTGTTGCATCCCTGCCAGAAGCTAATTAAAAAAAAAAATCTGATTAAAGAAAAATGTGTAGCAGAATAGGAGCCAGAATGTTCTCCTAACTGTGTGAACTGCTTTGTCATGAGAAAATATTTTTTCCTTCCATGGAATAGAAAATATCTCCCCCCCACCCCATGAGCAGATATGAGATTGCAGTCTTAATTAGCTTTTGGAAAAAGGAAAGAGGAAGCTGAGTTATAAGCATAGAATAAGACATGGCAAGTTTAGTCTTCTTACCATATCCAACAATGACACAATTAATGAAAGGCAGCAAATTGGCTGAAGAACATAGTTAAGAAAGAAAATGCTTATTCAGCCAAGCATTACAAGATAAGAGCCTTTTTTACCATGTAATTTTTTATGTACAGCCCAGGCTTTTTTTTCAGTCATCAGGGGTTACAGTAAGGTCCTACTTACAGTATTCATGTTCCCTTACAGTTGGTTACAATTAGAAGGTCCATGTATCAGCTGTGCTCAAAATGTGGTAAGAAAGAAGGAATGGGAGAAAAGGGGTCTGTATGGAGGATCCCAAGGTATGGTTAGAACCAGATAAAATGCGTTCTTGAGTTTTTGGAGGTTTTCGAGTTTTTGTTGTTTTGGTTTTGTGTTTTTGTTTTGTTTTTTTTGTTTTGGGACAGGATTTTTTGTTTAGTTGGTTGTTGGGTATTCACCTGAAACCTCTCGTGTTTCAGTTTGCATCCATTGCCCCTAGTTTTGGGACAGTATTTTTTGTTTAGTTGGTTGTTGGGGTTTTTTTAGCACAACGTTGTTCTGACCTCATCCAAAGGACTGTATTCCAAAGGAAAAAGGGACAGAGCAACACTACCTTATGTCCTTGTTATTCTTGGCTAATAGAGCCAGTTTTCAGTTTATTCAGATCAGCTGTGCAACTCATCTGTTTCTACTCCTTGCTGGCATGGAGATAAAATACTGCAGAGAAACAGTGGAAAGACTTCTGGTCCAATAGACTTTGATTTTAGCAAATTTTTAAGTTGCATCCCAGTTGGAAACTTACAGCAGTGGATAGGAAGTGCAAATAAAAAAAGCATCCTTAAACTATCATTTTCTATATCATATATACATATATATATAAGTTAGGGAGGACTGGTTAACATGGACATATTAACATGAGAAGAGCCATTGTCATTTGGCTTAGCATTATTATTACAGTGTCATGCCTGCATTTCTGATTTGACTACACAGAGTATAAAACTCTCATTAACATCTAAGACTAAATTATAAGAGATGTTCTATTACAGCCACAAAAAGACCCTCAGGAGTTCTATGACTTAACTTACTCTGAAACAGATTGTTTTCCCCCTCTAGCTTTGCTCTGTGAGTGTTTGTACAATGGTAGGAGTGTTAAAAGAGGAGGGAGAAGATAGAGGATAGTTTTGTGTAGACTCTCATGCCCAAATCCATCCAGCCCCACTGCTCAGTGTCTTCCTCTGGTTGTCTGTAGCAGGCTTCTTGCTTAGGGCCTTACACAGGTTCTGTAAAATGTTTTACAGCTTACATTCCTCTAAATTCTAGTCGATGAAGAGAACAAAATCACCACTTGACTTTAGCTCAGTGAGTCCAAACTGCCTATTGCTTCAAACTGTTTTTCCTGACACATGAAGGTATCTGTCACTGCATAACTCATTTTACTTCTGGAGCTCAGCAAAGTAATGAATTCCCTGTCAGATTTGTGCTGAGAGCACTTTCTCTCAGGGGAAGACATGACATCTATCTAGGAATAAAACCACAGGAGTAGGTTGTTTTCCAAAACTGACTTTGAGAATACTGAAGTTTCAGTCTAAGTAATTTTCAGGAAATACCCTTCTTCCCAACGTGTCTGCAGTGGAATAAAATGAAGTGCCAAAGAAGCCAGTGGTATGGCAGACTTTACTCAAAAGGTCAAGTATTTTGGATGACTTGCAGCGTGTCCACTGAAGGAAAAGGGAAGTCAGTATTATAATGCCACCTGGAGGAGAAGGAAAGATTCTGATAAAAATTATAAACCTATGTGTCATGAAAAAATTGAACGTAGAGGTGGGACAAATGACCACACACAGTCTAGTTCGACTGGAAATTGATCATCATTACCATCATTAAATGCATACAAATCTGCAATTTGTATGAAAAAATGAGTTCTAACATGTATGGATTTTCTTACAAAAACAAAGCCAAAACCAAAATGGGATTGACTGGATAGGATTCCAGACAGCCAATTACATTCCAAACAAACTTGTGGGGATTTAGAATAATCAGATTTCTTGCTTGGGTAGGATGTTCATTATGATTGGTGGAGAGAATGCCCATGATTGGTGCTACATCGACTCTAACTTACTGCTGCTACTTTCTTCCATCTCCTTAAGTAAATAATTAGTAACCAATAAAGTTTACAATAGCAGAAAGGTTAGGGTGACAGCTTGGCCCATGAAAATCAAGTCTTTTCCTTGGCTTTGGTGGGGCCATGGTATCATTCTTCAAGTCTAGACGGACTTCAGAGTTGAGATTTCAAAGCCATTGCAGTGCTTGAAAGGCAAGACTGTGTGTTGGAATCAGTGTCTCACTGTATCGGACTTATAACTCAGCTCCATTAATTTATGGTACGCTGTCAGAGCACTGAAAACTTTTTCTCAGAAAGAAAGTGGAGGAAAACTTCCTCCTACTACATCTTCCCTCAGTATTTTTCCTAAGGATCCTTGCCAATACTGTGTTATGACATATAGCATCTTTCAGGAATCTTAAAAAATTCAGTCTCTGAACACTCAACAGGAGAAGTAGAAACCACAGTCCAAGACCATTTCAGGTCTGACTATTGTCTGATTTTAACAGTGCAAAAGTCTTTAATTGAGGCATTTTTCTTACATAAAAAATCATTTGGGAGTCTTAATCAGTTTTACATTAGTAAGTATAGGGATCATTCTCAAGAAGAATTATGAATATAGATATCATCCAGGACAGCTGAACCAGACAAAAAATGAAACAAAATGTAAAGCTGTCTTTCAAGAAAAATGAAAAAAAAAAAAAAAGGAAATGGATTTGTTTTTTATTATGAAGTTGTCATATATGTATGGAGTTAAGTTCCTCATACATATAATTTGCACGATGTATCGGTATAACTTATCTTTATGTCTTAGGGCATACAATCTCTCAGTGAATATTCAAACTGTGTACTTAAATACTGGGAACTTGGAAGAGTTTTATAGGCTTTGACTAAAAGACTTCTCGTACCCTAAGACAGAGTTGACATTGAAGCCTGGAACTCCCTGTTCACTCAAGCCTTTCCGAAAATGTCACCCCAGACGTATTTGGATCCCATAAGAGAATAATGGGAAGATAAAAATAATGATTTCCTGTGACAACTGCTGAGAAATTTATCCAAGTAATTGCATAACAGCAAGAGAAAATGTGGTATATGAGAAAAACATTAGTTTATTATATTGGGTAAACAACATCAGTCTCTGTTAAATTACTTAATTTTAAGTGAGACAAGTGGGGCAGACCAAGTTCAGGATGCGGGGTTTTGTACGTGTTCACACTCTGAAGCTGCTCTGTTGCTGACAAACTGGTAATAACCTTGACATTTTGTCACAGAGAAGGCAACAACTTGTGTTCTGAGAAGTGACGAGTGAAATATATAGACAGATTCTAAAAGAACGCCAAACTCAACCAGATTTAATCTGTATCCACAACTGTATTTTGACTTTTTCTTTTGCCCTTTGTGGAGAGTTGTGGTCTGAGTTGTAGGGCTGAGTTCTTTTCACAACTGGGCTGTTAGGTCCCTCTCTGGTTTTGGGTAGGTCACTTAAACCCTCTCTCTTTGTGTTTAAAACAGAGTTATGAATATTTAACTCAGAGAAGTATTGCTGAAACTAATACTTCGAAGCCTCTTAAAAAAAGACATATACTCTGCTGTCATTTTTAGACTTTCCACTCCTTTTGTGATTATTTTTGGCAACAATTACTGGATCCGTTATCCAGCTGGTTTTAGAAGCAGCTAAAGAGAAGCTGTAACCCTGTAAAATTATGAACTGAATTCTTCCTGTGTCTGCATTAGAAACAAACAGTTTGCCTCTAAGAAAAGGAGAGTTTTTTAAATCATACATTATGTTATCTCAATGAATGGGGAATAGCTTTGCAACAGAGCATACTTACGCTTTCTTTCCACAGATGGCTCCCTGGTACCAGTTTCTGCAGGTGCTGAAGTATTTCTTTTTTGTTCCCATAACTTGCTGAAGGGCACAGACATTTGGGCTATGTGTGGGAGTGAAAAACATTTTTAAAGGAAGTTTCTGTACATCTTTGGAAAAGTTTTATGTCAAATAGCAGCAAATACCATTTCTGTTCAGCAAAAGTAAGAAATTAACATCTGGCTTCAATTCCCAGGGCAGGTGTGTTTTCAAGCAACCACAGTGCAAGCTCCTGGGACTGCCCAGATGGGTTCCTTGGTGAGCCCACCCTCCGGGCAGGGACAGAAGATTTCCTTCAGTTCTGCTTTGACCCTCTGTCTCCAATGGGCAGTGATCACCAGCTGTGCCTAGTCAAGTCTCAATATGCCTTACATTTCTCCCTTCCCCCTGCAAAGTGAATTAATTACCAGCCACCAGGGACCGAGCTGTGAATACCATCAGTCTCTTTTCATTAAAGTTTTGTCTTGTGCACATCTGTGCAGCTGAAGGTCATAGGGAGATGGGGAAGAAAAGTGCCTTGTTCTTTATGTAGAAGGAAACCCTCTCTTCTGTAAATCAATCAGCTATTTTGATTACCAGCCGTTTGGAGTACCACAGGCACCTAAGTAAACATTCTGGGAATTACTGGGGACCAAAGGGTAAATTGGCACGTAAATAAAAGGAGTCACAGATTTTAAACAAGGAATACTTTTTCCTTAGCATGGTAGTGTACTGAAGAGGAATTTCTTAAGTGCAAATTCCACAGAGCAAATGCATATTGTCACTAATTTTTATGCTTCTATAATTGAAACAATTCATCAATTGAAAAGTTAGAACATATATTTTTCATCAGTGGGAAGCCAGTGAACTTTTTTGTTGGAAAAGCTCAGTGTGTGTGTGTGTGTGTGTGTATGTGTGTGCAGCAGGCAGAGGGAATTCAAGAAACGAAGACAGGGTGGTAAACAATTCTTATTCACCAAACGTTCTTTACTTAAGAAGACCGAAGGAAAATATGTTTAGACACATGTGTCTCCCTGACACCAGCTGTTCAAATTATTTCCATGTGTCTGAGCAGCCTGGCTTGTAAGCATTGTCTTTTGGGTACCCTGCCGAGCAGCTTGCCGCGTTGCTCTAGTGGGAACAAAAGTTTTACAAAGGGCTCCCAGTATATATTCCCATGGTAGAAAGCATTTAAATAGAGTTCATGATTTTCATCAAGATGAAATAAAGAGAACAACTACTGGGTGATAAATGCCAACTCTATTCAAATATTTAAAAACATATTAAATATATCTGACGTCCCATTACATTAATTGTGAACTGTAATTAACTTCAGTGATTCTCAAATGCACGTATTTTGCTCATTGAGAAGAGGCGATTTTAGATTTTTCCACATTTTTTGAAGTTTAAGAATTCATAGTGAAAAATCACATTTAATACAGTGTGAGAAGAAACGGGAGAATAAAGATTAACAAGCTCCCTTTTAAAATAGAAATAAACCCCAGTTACTTACCCTTGGTCGCGTGCCCTTATTCGACTATGAGTTAAAATCTTGTCATAGTGAGCAGAAGCAGCTGCTTGTTTAAAAGCAGACAACAAAAAAGTGGAAAAGGTGAACAAGAAAAAGATCTTCATCTTTAGTCCTCTGTTGCTTCTGGCAAGCCTAGAAGAGAAAACTGGCAAAGGGTCTGGAGAGCTGACAATTTATATACATGTTGGAAGGTGGTGGGAGGGAACCAGAGAATCAACCTGAAACTTCGTACCACCCTCTTTAGAACAGCAGCTTTCACTGCCAGCTTCAGTAACCTAAATTAGTACCATACATTAACCATATAAACCATTTTTTTAATCCCCGTTTGACTAATTTCTTCCTTATTACAGAAGGTTTAACATTTTATTCTGCTGACACAACAGCAGAGAAAGTTTGAGAAGTTTAGATTTTGACGTGATTTGGTATTTATAGCACTGAAGCGTCCAGAAGTCATGCTCATTGCGTGTGGTTTTGTTCAAACCCAGAGGAATATGTTGTATGTTCCCATAAGAACTGCACTGCTTTCCTCTGTTTCCCATGTCCTCACAGTTATCAGCTAGTTCAGCTAGTGAAGTTGATGAAAGTTCCAAACAATGCTGTTGTCAATAACCTGGAATAGAGTTTTTGTTTCGAGGAAAAAAAGCTATATTAGCACACATTCTGATTATGAATTAGTTACACAACCGTATGCAGTATTAGCTTAAATATTCGTTTTCATTCTGATAATAACAGCTGCTATTACATAATGCTTTTATTCAGAGCTTTATGTAATTGTAAAAAAAATCACTGAGTATCTGAAAATTTGAGTATGTACCTTTCTATAATTCCTAGTCAGTCCTTGGGAGCCCCTTGTGAAGTAAATGGAAAATGTAATTCCAAGCTGTAAATAAGGGAACTGAGGCAGAAGGGTGAAGTGACAGGCTCAAGCCTCCAGTGAAGTGACAGTCTTAAGGTCTGGGGACAGTTGGTGTTTGGACTGCCATCCAGGGTTTTGCAATTTGCATGTCAAGGACAAAATTCTGCGATACAGAAGCGTTGGCATATGAATACAATTTTGAGGTATAGTCTATGCCTCATTTCAGATCTTCATGAAAGTAAGGTGAGTTCTAATGGCAGTACTTTGCTGTAGTTTCTTCCTCCAAACCAGAGTGGGGAATGAGGTAAATAACTGGAAATGGATGCAGTATTGGACTGACACACCTGGGACCAACCTCTCATTATAGAACAGACACAAATGGGGCAAAGAGCAGTGGGCCAAGGCTGACTATATCCTATATATCATCATAGGTAAAGGTTATAACTAGGCATGGGTATATAGACATTTTATGATTAAGGTCAGGTTTTACATAACCATAGCATTTCATGGTTTCTGAGGTTAAGAGCAGGGACATTTACTTAAATGGTAAGTGGACTTCTTTTCTACCTGTACTCATCCTACCTGCAAGTTAGTCAAGATAGCTCATGGAAGTATCGGCATCTCTAGACTCACTGTGTGTGAACTCAGTAAAACTCCCTGCCTGAAACCATCATTGTCAGATCCGGTGACGGAGGTGATGGGTCAACTCTGTCATATAATATTACAAGTTTTAGGAGAATGTCAGTGCTGTACTCTTTCTATTCCTCTCAGAGCTTTTTATCTCCTTCTGGTCTTTGCAATGCTCCAAAGACAGTGAGAAATATCACCTCTTAAATGTCTAGCTATGATATTTCAAGCTGCTAATTGGCCTCAGCTGATTACTATTTGCAGTTCTCAACCTACAAATGAAAAAATTAGAAGGTACTCCATTAAAGTAACTTGACAAACTTCTGAAAGTCCCAGAACTGTCCCCATAACCTGTCCTCTCAGGAGTGCGTCCTTCCTGAGCATAGCTCAACTCTCAGCATAGCTCATGTTCTTCTCTTCCACACTTAACATGTAGCATCACAAAATGAGTAGAAATTAATGCTGCTGCATGTGCTGAGCTCCTGTATCTACAGAGCTATCCACCACAGTTAAAGAAGGAGCAACCTGAGCAGGGCAAGTGTTTTTATTTCCAGACTTTTCCAGCTTTCTGATTAGTGACCCAATCTCAAATTCCAGAGAACCCCATTTGTTCTCTGTGTAGATTACAGTAGGCTGTAATTATTAAACTAGTAGTTCTTATTATTAATACCTTACTCTTTTCTCTTTCCACTTGTCTTTGATTATGATAGGAACAATCATAATTGTTCATAATGAGAACAAATTGTCATCTTAAGACTATTCATCTTCCCACTTCCATACATTAATGTTATAAAAGTCCCCTTTCCACTTCAAGGCTGTAGAAGAAAAGATCTGAAGGACTGTTATATGTCAAACAATATCAAACATGGTGGGAGAGGTATTAGGGCAGCATGGAAATTGGTGATGAAGAAATATGCAAATATAAAATCATATTAATTAACCAAATGAAAGGATCATCAACATTAAACCTCATAACAACCCTGGTGACATCATTATATTTAATGGGGCAAATGTTAGTAAAAAGTAATCAATGCAGACATAAAGTTCACTGAAATAAAATAGCATGAGGAAAAAAATAATGACCATGTTTGACTTTCTGAAAAATCTCTAAATCACTGAATGAGTTGTTCTGGTGAGAGGTTTAAAAATGCACAGATCCTAAAATGTATAAAGCGCATCTTTAACTGGAAACGACCTTTTAAAAAATCATCAACGCAATGGAAATCTCACAAACTTATAATTTAAAAACTTCCAGAAAAAAAAACCAAAACCAAAAACCAAACAGAAAAAAAATCACGACGAAAAAACAGTCCAACTACATGAATCCTATTCTTCATTTATGTTTATGTTAGTCCAGATATAAAAACAAATGACAAAGCCAGGCTCTGTTTTACCTGTGATAGACTGGCATGATGAAAAACTCACCTGAGTAATCATTTTCTAACTTGCCAACTAAAATACTGTTCTGGTTAACCAACAATTTAGTCAGTTGTGCTCATTGCTACTTTATTCATTTTAATTTGTTCTTTGTTTATCAAGGTGGTTACACCACCAAGTAGCCACCTTAGGTTTTTTCTTCATTTGGCTAAATACCTTGTCTAATATTATTCTTCCTAAGGGATGTGATGTTGAAATTCTAATTACAAATGTTCAAAATCTAATTATGAAATGTATTAAAATACCTCATGGATGTGAATTTTTATTGTAGTAATAGGACTTTTTATTGTCAACAACAGAAGAAGCATATCTGAAGAAATAAATGGAACAAGTATAGAACAGATGCTGATTTTCATCTTCCACAAAATGTAAATAGTGTCAAGAAGAAAAGTGTAAGGCATCTGCTATTCTGAATTGTTTCTTGCATTTCTCTAGAGACCTCTAGTGGAGAGAACTCTCTAAAAGTTGTTTTCTCAAAGCTGTGTTAAGTGTTTAAACTAAGAATTTATTGTATGATAAAGCAATTTGTTTTATTATTCCTAAAAAAGACTAGTTTAGTTATATGATGCAAGAATCCTTGCATTCAAATATTTAGGGGTTTGGATAAGTGCCTTTATATATCAAATTGAAGTAACGAAAGCATCTACCTATTGTCACTTGTGGCTAATTCTACTGATGGTGAAGAAATTTAGCAAATAAGAAGGGAAGGAAATTAAAGGTTTTTCAAATACTGTCTTCCTGGTTAAAACCTGCAGATGTTTCAGATCATTTACAAAGTCTGTCGTGTTATACATATTCTGCTTGTTTATTTTATAACTACTTTATGTGTTTACTTTTTGTTGTGTGTGCTGAATGGAAAGAGCAAATGGGCAAAAAAGTTTTAAGATGGAAAGAGGCTCCGTCTATCCTGCAGTTCTTGCTTGAATTCTGAGGTTTCCTTGGAAACCTTGATTCAGCAAATTTGGTATTTTTTTTCATTAACTTCGCTTAGATCAGCAATTTGCCTCTGGAGCAACCTTCAGTTGAAGAACCCATGCAACCCATTGGCCTTTTGGATAAACTAAGTGGTTAAAGGTAACATGTGTAAAAGAAATTCAGTGTTTGTAAGTGCAAGCTGATAGACCTTAGAAGTAAAGGTTTTAGTTGTAAAAGAGTTCTGTGCCAGTCACAGCTGGGGTACGTGGCTCTGTCACATATCTGCCTTACAGGAGTGTTGTAAGGGAGGTGTAGTCAGGAAAAAAAATATTCCACACCTGGTGGTTTACTGAAGCACCACTTAGGAACCCTGTGTCGAAAAAGCATGAAAAAGCCATGTAAAAAAGTCTTCTGTTTCCTTGAGAGTATCTAGCAGAGAACCACTGGGGATAAAGATCTAAAGCATAATCAGTTTAATTCAGTAAGAATTTGTACCTTCTGGAGAATTAGGTCAGAGGGTTTTTAAAAAAAAAAAAAACCAGACAAGTGCAGGGCACGGTAAGCCTGGGTGCCAACACAAACTGTCAAGGGAAGGGAGCTCCCCTGGTGTAACTGAAGGACTCAGCAATACTTAGACCAGATGCAGCCTGATTTCCACACAAACTCACATAATATGCAGGGGTTTTAAATATCAAATAGAGGGAAGAGGGCTTGATGTTTACATGGATACACAGAAACCCAGAGCTATAAAGAAAATACCTAATAATAATAACGGTGATAGTGATAGTGACAGTGATAGTGATAGTGATAATAATAATAATAATACCTTAAGGGAAAGTTTGTAAAGGAATAAACTCAAGCTTTGTTTGACTGAAAGCAAGATCCAAAGTGTTAAGTGTGTTTCCAAGGGGATCGATTATCACCAAAACATTTACTGCAGGATTTCTGACATAACTGCCTGGCAAAGATTTGCTGCTGTCAGCTCTCGCTTTCCTTTCCATAGCTATTTTAGTGAAGATGAATCCATGCACAACAGAATCACAGAATCACAGAATGGCAAGGGTTGGAAGGGACGTCAGGAGATCATCCAGTCCAACCCCTCTGCTAAAGCAGGTTCACCTAGAGCAGGTTGCGCAGGACATCATCCAGGAGGGCTTTGAATATCTCCAGAGAAGGAGACTCCACAAATAAGAAATGGAAATAAACCTCAGGGAAGTAACTGGGAAAGACTTGATGGTGGGTCCTGTGAAGAGGATGATCATGAGTACA